CGGGGGCTGGGGGGCCGGAGCTCCGGGCTCACGCATCTAGACCCGGCCGGCGGCAGAGACGCGCTGAGCCCGCCCGCGAGCAGGAGGCTGACTCGAGTATAAGCCGAGGGGGGCATTTTTCAGCACAAAAACTGTGCTGAAAAACTCGGCTTATACTCGAGTATATACGGTATTTATTGTGGCAAATAGCTCTTCTGTGTTCAATTCTAAACAATGCATGAGTAGAGAGAGTTGTTACTTTCATTCTTAAGCATCCATCTGCCCCCCAAAACTGGACAATATTTCTTTGGCATGTCTAGATACAGTATGGCAAGTTGTCGTAATGATTGACACAAGGCAGTTATTATATATTGTATAGAAGTAAATATTTTTAGATTCCTGCATGGATACAAAATGTGTATCTGCATCTGATCCACGGTGTGCAGATGTCCACATCCATGGATATAAAGCAGGTATCTCGGAGTTGCAGAGCTGTACATATCTTTACTTGATTTTTCATAACTACACAGTATTTACTTCATGTAACCTCCCATCCCTGGATGATGTCACATTTAATCATTACTTTTACAACAATCTAATATTTTGTTGACTTAATTATGGCTGCTTTTTAGGTTATAACAAAAATGCTTCAAAAGTAGAAATAACAGCGAGAGTAAAGCGTCATTTCAGTGCTTCTGTTAGTGTTTTCTTACTTGTCATTCTTCTGCTTCGCATTCCTTGGACAATCTGCCCTCTGCTTTGCTGGCAGCCAAAGAAGCAAAGCTAAGGAGCCATATGAAAAATTAAGACTGTCCCATTCCACTCTTTAAACCAATATTTACCAATCAGTGCAAATTTATTTAGCACTTTAAATTGAAGCCTTTAATGTAAATGGCCTTCAGGTAATGGATATATTCGGAAACGTATCATACAGCAGTTTTGTATAGTGAGTAAAATATACACAGTACAACTTTGTCTTAAATGTGTAATGCCTAAAAATGTGGAAATATCTAGAAACTATTGAGATTTAAGTTGAAGAGGAGCCTTGGAGAGCTGGAAAAACGGCTGTTTTCAAGTACTATATGCTAATTGGGTGAATAAAAGTAATTTCTGCTTTCTATCCTGTTTTTAGCTTAACTCTATATTAAATCACTTTAAATGTTTATACTTGAAAACCTTAGTTTTTGCACAACCTCTCAAAATAGAAATTTATTTGTCTGAAACATGCAGTAAAATAATTATTTTATTTCTCCAGGGAATGGCTTTACCTGTTGTCTCATGAAATGTTGAATCCATATTACGGCCTCTTCCAGTACTCACGAGATGATATCTATACGCTGCAAATCAATCCAGACTCTGCAGTTAATCCGGTACAAATGATGACAAATTTATAGAATTCATTATTTCTATGACCTAGGAAATTCATCTTCAAATCAAATGCACATGGGGAATGCCTTACACTAGAGTCTTATTCTCACATTAGCATTGCTAGAAATTGAATTTGTGCAGTGGCACGACCCTTTTGTATTTAGAATTAATCAGAGAAAAATACCAAATACTTCAACTTAATCTTGGTGCCAGATGTTTGAATTGCTTTATGGAATGTATGAATACAAGTTGTTTCTGTACTTAGTAATAGGATCTCTGGATTGTTTTGAAAGTGAGTGGCAACAGAAAACCTAGAAACTTTTTACAAAAAAAAAAAATCTTAATTCTGAAATTTTGAAATCCAGTATATACTCTTTCAGGAAGCCAGATTTAGTTAAATTCATGTATTTTATCTTTTTTAATTCCAGGAACACTTATCCTATTTCCATTTTGTTGGACGGATTATGGGGATGGCTGTGTTTCATGGACATTATATTGATGGGGGCTTCACATTGCCTTTCTATAAGCAATTGCTAGGAAAGCCAATTACTCTTGATGACATGGAATTGGTTGACCCAGATCTTCACAACAGCTTAGTTTGGATACTGTATGTATTCCACAATTTAATAATTCTATTTAAAATTGTTAGAAAAAAGCTATTTGTGTTCCTAAATATTAAAACGTAATATAACTTCTTGTGTTGTGCTGCTTATCAGTATTTTGAAACCAAATCGGGTTAGAAAATTAAATTGAGATGTCTGTCATAAGTATTTGAGTGTAATACATTTGTAGAGTATGTCTTTTGTAATGAGCCATTTGTTTCCCTCCCCAAGAGAAAATGATATTACAGGTGTCTTGGATCATACGTTCTGTGTGGAACACAATGCTTATGGAGAAATTATTCAACATGAACTGAAACCCAATGGGAAAAGCATCCCTGTCACAGAGGAAAATAAAAAAGAATATGTCAGGTATTAAATAATCATCCATCTATTTCTCAAGGAAAGCTTTTTTTAATGTTTCCTCCAGGAGAGAGTTTGGCTTGTATGAACTTACTGCCAGTGCCACATTTTTCTAAGCACTAATATGGTAGTTTTATTGTATTGTGGTGTTGCTGTTGTTTTAATTTTTGGATGAATAAAGTGCAAGGTTATTGTGTTTTTAAATATATTTTTTCACAAAACAAATTTGTACTTGCTTTTGCAGGCTTTATGTAAACTGGCGTTTTTTACGAGGCATTGAAGCTCAGTTTCTAGCACTGCAGAAGGGATTTAATGAAGTAATCCCACAACATCTGCTGAAGACATTTGATGAGAAGGAGCTAGAGGTCAGTACACTAATGTTACATTTTGTCGTCAAGTGTAACAATAAAAGGCTGATGCATTCTTCTGAGACTAAACAACATGCTAAGTTGTATCCCCAGTGTTTTTTGGGTTTTGCAGGTGCAATATTACAAGAGCCATAGTTAAACACAAAGGTCACCCAGGCCCTGGAATGTGAGACTGATCTTTTACACTCTCCATTCTGTGTCTGTTCTGCCGAACCAGTAGCTCTGTTTGTCAACTTTTGAAGCATTTTCTCTCTCATGTGGTTAGTATTGTTTAACCTTGTTGAGCAGAGTATATATACACAGGTTTGGGCTTTTGTTTTTGGTAATCTTGGGAGTGACTGAATAAGGAGTTTCATAGCGACTGTAAAAGTATCCACTTCCTTTATTTCAATACATTGTGGTAGGGCATGTAGGGTTCCCTCTTGTACCTCTCTTGTATCTTGGTTAAGCTGGTTTTCTGTTCAGAAGTCTCTACAATCAGCTCATACTGGTCCATAGTGTTCGCTATCATGGAGGTATCAATATATTACCCTTAAAGAAATCTATGAGCCTGAGTACTGCTGCTAAGTGCTCTATAAAATGTAAAACTCCAGCACCTGCAATAGAGTATTGCCCTTGGCAAATGCGGCAGGTTCCCAATTTGTGTTTTTAAAAAACAGTATCTAATATAGAATCCATAGCTGGGATTTTTTCTCTCTCTCCAGTTCTGCAGTGATGGCCTAAAACCATGGCGCCATTGTGTGTGTTTTGGTTTATAAAAATGACTCAAGTATGAATTATCCATATTTTTCCTGTTTCCTTTTGTAAAGTTGTTTCTAGACTGGAATATATTATGATAGTTTGTCCATTCTCATGTGCCTTATGAGAACTGGGGACAAAGTATTCTCTGTTGAGAGGAACCAGCTTCCAGAGAAGCTTAGACAAAGCCAGAGTTTGACACTTTCAGAAATACTGCAAAACCTTCTTTTTTGATAAAGGCCTTTCCACTCTCACAAGAATGCTATCCACAACATTGAAATTCCACTGTGCCCAAAGACAACCTTTCTTCCCCAAAATAAAAACATTATAAACCCACGGAAAGTGTTAACTCCAAAAAGAAAGATGTGCCAGAGACTCCATGAATTTCACTAGGGACTTGGCTATTGCTGTTGAATTGTAAATGGAAATTGTTCAAATGTGACAGTGATAAAACCCTTTTAATTTAAACTCTGACACAATCGGGATGAATGTTATAACAAAATTAAGCAAAGTTCCAGATGCATTTTACTTGTGCATTTGTCTTGTAAATGTGTTTAATCTGATTTGTATAAGATGCGTGGATATGACTGCAATAAAAAGTTATATTAGGAGGGGGGAAAAAATAATTGGTTGAATTCTAAAAGCCAAATTATATCCCCAGCTACTCATAAAAAAACTCCTTTTGAACACAGTGGCAGTGATGCAACATCTGAATGCAGAATTTGACATGTAAAATGTACATCTGGAAACACAAGACACTTTCAAGGTCTCTAAATTATCTTTGCCATACAACTTTTGGAAGTTGGCTGCTCTGTTGGAAATGAAGTTTGAATAGGACACCTTGAAAATGGATACATTGTATGACATTTCTTACTACAGAATAAAATGATATAATTGTATATGTGCCTTTAAACAAGAGAGAGCCTGTAACTTTCAATTCACATTGAAATTTATTGGTATTTTTAAACCTGCATTGTATTTTGATGCATAGCTCACTTGTTTTTATTGATCAGCGATGATGTATTCAATTAACAGCTCATCATTTGTGGACTTGGAAAGATTGATGTTAATGACTGGAAGGCAAATACTAGGTTAAAACACTGTACCCCAGACAGCAATATTGTGAAATGGTTCTGGAAAGCTGTGGAGTTCTTTGATGAAGAGAGGAGAGCACGATTGCTCCAGTTTGTAACCGGCTCATCCAGAGTGCCTCTTCAGGGTTTTAAAGCGTTACAAGGTAAAAGGTCTACGGGAACTGCCTTAAAAGGGATCCATGTGGGCAAAGGATTAGGACATTACAGAAACTTTGCATAAAAATAAGATAATTGATCTGTGTTGTGACTTTGCTTGTTTTAGGGATGTCAACATGTAGTCAATTATACAATTAACCAATAAGCCTAGGTTTACCGGTTCATCTTCTCAACTATACGCATTTTCCCTCCCACCTCCCCCACTGCCTTTCAGCTGAGGGGGGAGAGCAGGAGCAGGTGCTGCGCGGAGTTGACTTTAAAGGCAGTTCCCCCTAGCACTGGCTCCGTGATGCTGCGAAACAGCCTCTGTCTGAGGCGGGCCCAAGCACCCTGCAGACAGAGGCTGCTCCACATCCCGGGGGGGAGGGGTGGCAGGAGATATGGTCTACGTGGGGAGCTGGGTTTTATACTGGTTCTCCTCGCAGACTAAATATTTTTAGATTCCTGCATGGATACAAAATGTGTATCTGCATCTGATCCACGGTGTGCAGATGTCCACATCCATGGATATAAAGCAGGTATCTCGGAGTTGCAGAGCTGTACATATCTTTACTTGATTTTTCATAACTACACAGTATTTACTTCATGTAACCTCCCATCCCTGGATGATGTCACATTTAATCATTACTTTTACAACAATCTAATATTTTGTTGACTTAATTATGGCTGCTTTTTAGGTTATAACAAAAATGCTTCAAAAGTAGAAATAACAGCGAGAGTAAAGCGTCATTTCAGTGCTTCTGTTAGTGTTTTCTTACTTGTCATTCTTCTGCTTCGCATTCCTTGGACAATCTGCCCTCTGCTTTGCTGGCAGCCAAAGAAGCAAAGCTAAGGAGCCATATGAAAAATTAAGACTGTCCCATTCCACTCTTTAAACCAATATTTACCAATCAGTGCAAATTTATTTAGCACTTTAAATTGAAGCCTTTAATGTAAATGGCCTTCAGGTAATGGATATATTCGGAAACGTATCATACAGCAGTTTTGTATAGTGAGTAAAATATACACAGTACAACTTTGTCTTAAATGTGTAATGCCTAAAAATGTGGAAATATCTAGAAACTATTGAGATTTAAGTTGAAGAGGAGCCTTGGAGAGCTGGAAAAACGGCTGTTTTCAAGTACTATATGCTAATTGGGTGAATAAAAGTAATTTCTGCTTTCTATCCTGTTTTTAGCTTAACTCTATATTAAATCACTTTAAATGTTTATACTTGAAAACCTTAGTTTTTGCACAACCTCTCAAAATAGAAATTTATTTGTCTGAAACATGCAGTAAAATAATTATTTTATTTCTCCAGGGAATGGCTTTACCTGTTGTCTCATGAAATGTTGAATCCATATTACGGCCTCTTCCAGTACTCACGAGATGATATCTATACGCTGCAAATCAATCCAGACTCTGCAGTTAATCCGGTACAAATGATGACAAATTTATAGAATTCATTATTTCTATGACCTAGGAAATTCATCTTCAAATCAAATGCACATGGGGAATGCCTTACACTAGAGTCTTATTCTCACATTAGCATTGCTAGAAATTGAATTTGTGCAGTGGCACGACCCTTTTGTATTTAGAATTAATCAGAGAAAAATACCAAATACTTCAACTTAATCTTGGTGCCAGATGTTTGAATTGCTTTATGGAATGTATGAATACAAGTTGTTTCTGTACTTAGTAATAGGATCTCTGGATTGTTTTGAAAGTGAGTGGCAACAGAAAACCTAGAAACTTTTTACAAAAAAAAAAAATCTTAATTCTGAAATTTTGAAATCCAGTATATACTCTTTCAGGAAGCCAGATTTAGTTAAATTCATGTATTTTATCTTTTTTAATTCCAGGAACACTTATCCTATTTCCATTTTGTTGGACGGATTATGGGGATGGCTGTGTTTCATGGACATTATATTGATGGGGGCTTCACATTGCCTTTCTATAAGCAATTGCTAGGAAAGCCAATTACTCTTGATGACATGGAATTGGTTGACCCAGATCTTCACAACAGCTTAGTTTGGATACTGTATGTATTCCACAATTTAATAATTCTATTTAAAATTGTTAGAAAAAAGCTATTTGTGTTCCTAAATATTAAAACGTAATATAACTTCTTGTGTTGTGCTGCTTATCAGTATTTTGAAACCAAATCGGGTTAGAAAATTAAATTGAGATGTCTGTCATAAGTATTTGAGTGTAATACATTTGTAGAGTATGTCTTTTGTAATGAGCCATTTGTTTCCCTCCCCAAGAGAAAATGATATTACAGGTGTCTTGGATCATACGTTCTGTGTGGAACACAATGCTTATGGAGAAATTATTCAACATGAACTGAAACCCAATGGGAAAAGCATCCCTGTCACAGAGGAAAATAAAAAAGAATATGTCAGGTATTAAATAATCATCCATCTATTTCTCAAGGAAAGCTTTTTTTAATGTTTCCTCCAGGAGAGAGTTTGGCTTGTATGAACTTACTGCCAGTGCCACATTTTTCTAAGCACTAATATGGTAGTTTTATTGTATTGTGGTGTTGCTGTTGTTTTAATTTTTGGATGAATAAAGTGCAAGGTTATTGTGTTTTTAAATATATTTTTTCACAAAACAAATTTGTACTTGCTTTTGCAGGCTTTATGTAAACTGGCGTTTTTTACGAGGCATTGAAGCTCAGTTTCTAGCACTGCAGAAGGGATTTAATGAAGTAATCCCACAACATCTGCTGAAGACATTTGATGAGAAGGAGCTAGAGGTCAGTACACTAATGTTACATTTTGTCGTCAAGTGTAACAATAAAAGGCTGATGCATTCTTCTGAGACTAAACAACATGCTAAGTTGTATCCCCAGTGTTTTTTGGGTTTTGCAGGTGCAATATTACAAGAGCCATAGTTAAACACAAAGGTCACCCAGGCCCTGGAATGTGAGACTGATCTTTTACACTCTCCATTCTGTGTCTGTTCTGCCGAACCAGTAGCTCTGTTTGTCAACTTTTGAAGCATTTTCTCTCTCATGTGGTTAGTATTGTTTAACCTTGTTGAGCAGAGTATATATACACAGGTTTGGGCTTTTGTTTTTGGTAATCTTGGGAGTGACTGAATAAGGAGTTTCATAGCGACTGTAAAAGTATCCACTTCCTTTATTTCAATACATTGTGGTAGGGCATGTAGGGTTCCCTCTTGTACCTCTCTTGTATCTTGGTTAAGCTGGTTTTCTGTTCAGAAGTCTCTACAATCAGCTCATACTGGTCCATAGTGTTCGCTATCATGGAGGTATCAATATATTACCCTTAAAGAAATCTATGAGCCTGAGTACTGCTGCTAAGTGCTCTATAAAATGTAAAACTCCAGCACCTGCAATAGAGTATTGCCCTTGGCAAATGCGGCAGGTTCCCAATTTGTGTTTTTAAAAAACAGTATCTAATATAGAATCCATAGCTGGGATTTTTTCTCTCTCTCCAGTTCTGCAGTGATGGCCTAAAACCATGGCGCCATTGTGTGTGTTTTGGTTTATAAAAATGACTCAAGTATGAATTATCCATATTTTTCCTGTTTCCTTTTGTAAAGTTGTTTCTAGACTGGAATATATTATGATAGTTTGTCCATTCTCATGTGCCTTATGAGAACTGGGGACAAAGTATTCTCTGTTGAGAGGAACCAGCTTCCAGAGAAGCTTAGACAAAGCCAGAGTTTGACACTTTCAGAAATACTGCAAAACCTTCTTTTTTGATAAAGGCCTTTCCACTCTCACAAGAATGCTATCCACAACATTGAAATTCCACTGTGCCCAAAGACAACCTTTCTTCCCCAAAATAAAAACATTATAAACCCACGGAAAGTGTTAACTCCAAAAAGAAAGATGTGCCAGAGACTCCATGAATTTCACTAGGGACTTGGCTATTGCTGTTGAATTGTAAATGGAAATTGTTCAAATGTGACAGTGATAAAACCCTTTTAATTTAAACTCTGACACAATCGGGATGAATGTTATAACAAAATTAAGCAAAGTTCCAGATGCATTTTACTTGTGCATTTGTCTTGTAAATGTGTTTAATCTGATTTGTATAAGATGCGTGGATATGACTGCAATAAAAAGTTATATTAGGAGGGGGGAAAAAATAATTGGTTGAATTCTAAAAGCCAAATTATATCCCCAGCTACTCATAAAAAAACTCCTTTTGAACACAGTGGCAGTGATGCAACATCTGAATGCAGAATTTGACATGTAAAATGTACATCTGGAAACACAAGACACTTTCAAGGTCTCTAAATTATCTTTGCCATACAACTTTTGGAAGTTGGCTGCTCTGTTGGAAATGAAGTTTGAATAGGACACCTTGAAAATGGATACATTGTATGACATTTCTTACTACAGAATAAAATGATATAATTGTATATGTGCCTTTAAACAAGAGAGAGCCTGTAACTTTCAATTCACATTGAAATTTATTGGTATTTTTAAACCTGCATTGTATTTTGATGCATAGCTCACTTGTTTTTATTGATCAGCGATGATGTATTCAATTAACAGCTCATCATTTGTGGACTTGGAAAGATTGATGTTAATGACTGGAAGGCAAATACTAGGTTAAAACACTGTACCCCAGACAGCAATATTGTGAAATGGTTCTGGAAAGCTGTGGAGTTCTTTGATGAAGAGAGGAGAGCACGATTGCTCCAGTTTGTAACCGGCTCATCCAGAGTGCCTCTTCAGGGTTTTAAAGCGTTACAAGGTAAAAGGTCTACGGGAACTGCCTTAAAAGGGATCCATGTGGGCAAAGGATTAGGACATTACAGAAACTTTGCATAAAAATAAGATAATTGATCTGTGTTGTGACTTTGCTTGTTTTAGGGATGTCAACATGTAGTCAATTATACAATTAACCAATAAGCCTAGGTTTACCGGTTCATCTTCTCAACTATACGCATTTTCCCTCCCACCTCCCCCACTGCCTTTCAGCTGAGGGGGGAGAGCAGGAGCAGGTGCTGCGCGGAGTTGACTTTAAAGGCAGTTCCCCCTAGCACTGGCTCCGTGATGCTGCGAAACAGCCTCTGTCTGAGGCGGGCCCAAGCACCCTGCAGACAGAGGCTGCTCCACATCCCATGGAGCAGCCCCTGTCCGTGGAGAGCCTGGGTCTGCCATGGACAGAGGTTGCTTTGCAACAGCAGCCTCTGTCTGCGGGGGGGTCCCATCTCCCCTTAACAGAGGCTGGGGAGGCCTTTGTATCAGAGACAGCAGCGAGGGGTGGCAGGCAGCTGGTCTGCACAGGGGGCTGGCTCTTTAATGGCTCCCTTCACAGACTGACTTCCACCTGGCACCCTGTGCTGCTGCTTCTGATACAGAGGAAGCAGTGTGGGATAGCAGGGGTCTCCCCAAGTATAGGTCCAGGAGCACACTGGCCTCCAGTGCTGCTCCCAGGGACTATCAAATAGTAGTGTAACTGCAAAGATTTCATGTGGTTACATGACTATTCAATTACTTTACGTCTAACATCCCTAGTTTTTGTTACTACAATGGGGTTTTCAGTGGTCTTAATAGTTGTTTCCATCATCATTTATCTGATACTGTACTCTTCTGTCTCATATCGTTGGCTGTAACCTGCTCTATTCTTTTACTTGCTAAAGCACTTCTTTCTCTAGTCTTTTCTAATTAATTGTAATAAACTCTGGACATTAGAGACCCGTATATGATTCTCTTGGCTGCTGCTTTTTTTTTTTTTTTTTTTTTTTTTTTTTTTTTTTTTTTTTTTTTTTTTTTTGTTTTATTACAATCCCTCACCGCCTCTGCAGCTGTCCATAATTGACTTCATGGTCAGAAAAGCCAACAAGTAACTTCTTTGTGACTATAACAGGTGTGAGAGAGATTTGTGATGTTGACTTCTTCATGGAAGGAGCCACATGCCTGTGAGCAGCCCACGAATAGATAGAATGTATCTCATTAGCCAGCTGCATTATGCCTTCCTCCTTATACCTTCCTGCAGCAATAGTTCTGACTTTGTCATCCATGCCGTTAGGTGAACAGAATCAGAGGCAAGGACCTCAACCCTCTGTGGTCCTCTTCTTTGCTTTCTCAAGATGAAGCAAAGTGCCTAAGATGGGCAAAATCCAGCCTGCCAAGTATTTCTCTCTGGCCTGCCCACTTGATTAGCAGAGCGTGCAAACGTACAGCCAGCAGAATGTGTTCAGCTGCCCCCTCCCCACCTTGCTCCGTCCTGCTCCCTTTTCTTCCTAGCGGGGTAGAGGGAAGAGCTGCAATCAAGGTGTCCCCTACCCCTGTACCTCATCTCTGCAGAGTAGAGGTCAGGGAGAGGGAAACCTCCAATCTGAAGCATGGCTGATCAGTGATAGGAGGAGTGTCTATCTTAAGAGACAGTGCACTGTTTCTAAGATTTCAGTGCTTGTGCTCTCACTCTCTTCCCCCCTCTCCCCATACGCAATCTCTGCAGAGCTGGGGGGACAACAGAGCAGGACAGCTTTTGCTGTCTTAAAGAGATAGTGTGGCTTCTCTCACAAATGTACCCAGCAGCAGCCAGCACACACACCGTGTCACTGTCACACACACCCGGTCTGTGGTCAATGCCCCACACTCTCAGTCTGTCCCTCTCACACAGTCTCTTTCACACTCAGACACTCTCTCTCTGTGTAGCCTCCACCCATGACCTTGTACCAAAATTCATGAAGTGGCCCCCCCTGTGAAAATGATTGCCCAACCCTCACCTGAGAGAACACATTCACCAACGAGAAGTATTTTCTTGACCAATTAGACTGGATTTGAACTGAGCAAATACCTTGTGTTACTAATTGCAACTTACCAAAACCAGGGGTTCTGGAAACCAACCATCCCTTCCAGCCTTCTTCACATGGGGCCAGCCTTAGCCTTTGGGTTCCTAAGATGGTATAGGTCCCTGCAATACTACGGTTTCATAAAACCATACAGAAAAGGAAATAGAATCACCAGGAAAGTGAAGGGGGATGGCTGGGGGGGCACACTCCACAGTCCAGGACTGCCCCAGCTCCGAGCCTCCCCCCAGGCGCCCCCATAGGAAGCTGTCCCCCACCTGATTTGTACTGGAATATTCTTGGCTGTTCCCTTGTCAGAGAGCAAGGGGAAAGTGCTTTGGCTGGGGAGTGCAGGGAGCAGACTAACCTGCCCCAGCTGGGGCGCATGCTCCCCTCCCCTGGCTATGCCACTGGCCCAAGCTGCTGCGGTGAGACGTGTCTGGGGTAGTCCTCTCTCCCTAGAACAGCCTGTATACTGAACCCCTCATCCCCAGTCCCACCCCAGAGCAATGATTTAAATTAAGCGTGGATATTTCCATTTTATTTTCCAAAAAACAAAAATTAATTGAGTTAAGGACCTGAGCAATAGTAGGTAAATCTTCTAGTATAGCCATAAATGTGCTTACACCAGTGTCAATTTTTCTGGTCTGAGGAGAAATTGGCTCTAGTGGAATGACTGGCCATGCTATGGCTTGTCCTAGTATACAAAAAAATCAAACGCCTAATAGAAATAATGATACCAATGCAAACACTGTAGATCAAGCTCTGCTTATTATGTTAGTGCTGTGCAGACTGAAACTTGTTCTGCTAGTTCTTGTGCATCTCTCATCGGCTTCAACAGTCTTAGTAGTGTTGCGCATGTCTGAAGACAGCCAAACTTCTGTCCGACGGGGAAATGTTACGCAACAGCTTTTCTATTTGCTGTTATGTGTGTTCTCTCCCTCCCTGCCACAATATTGTACTGTGTTCATTTCCTTAGTAAATGGCTCATCTGTCTCCCTTGCTTGTCTACGTCTCTCTCTGCCTTCCTAACAGTTACAAGATAGCAGTTTGGGGGTGATATCGTGTATTAGTGCTAGAGAATTCATCTTTACTGGATTTGCAGGTGCTGCGGGGCCCAGGCTATTTACAATACACCAGATCGATGCCAGCACTAATAACTTGCCGAAAGCTCATACCTGGTAAGACCACTTTAAGTTTTCAGTCTCCATAAAAATACTAGTGTTTTGCTAAATGGACACTGTAGTCAGGACGATTTACTGCCAAGGTGTCCAGACAGGTCTCTGGCTCTGTCGATGATGATAACCAGAAGGCTGCTTGCGTGTGTGCTCAATGATGTGGGCCCTATGAGCATTGCAGACCTCGAGAAGGCACCCATAGACCACAAATTAGATAAGGATCAAAGATGCCTGGCCAGGTTTATTGAGCCAAGTACAGTAATAGTGGTCAGTAGACTCTGCCAAATCACTACACACACATACTTACAACGGGGAGGCCAGTTGAAGCATTTGGAAAGTGGTCGAGGGCCGCACTCTTCCATGATATTAATCGTGGTTGGATGCAGAAGGGAGCTTGGGTAAGGAAGGGAGTTTGGGTGAAGGAGGCAGTTGTGATCTGGGGTACTGGATGGGGGTGCAGTGGGCTGGACGGTGACCTATGAAAGGGAATTGGGGTGCAGCAGTTGGTGCAGGGATTTGGGTTGTGAGTTGGGGCAGAAGGGAACTGTTATCTGGGGCAGGAGATTGGGGTGCCAGATCTGGGAGGGTATATGAGTGCAGGAGGGGGCAGATGATTTGGGTATGTTGAGTGAGGGGCAGAGGGTTGGAGAATGGAGGGGCTGGGGTGCCAGAGGCAGGCTCTCGCCAGGTGACTTGCCAGCCAGCAGCCAAACCAGCCTGCTTTCAGAACTTAAAATGTTTCTGCCTTCCCGGCCATGTGCTTGAGGAAGTAACTGAACAGGAGGGGAATGGGGTTGTGCTTTGTGGCTTCCTGTTATTCCAACAGGCAGCTCTCACCGAATGGGATTGTGCTGGGGCTGGGATCAGCTCCTAAAGCTTTCTTCCCTCCTGACTTAGTTTTAAAAGAAAAACTGTCCAGCAGCCGCGTTTCTGAGCGGCGTGTGGGTGGGGCGAGGCAAGAGGGATCCTGTGTGGGGCTCACTGCAGCATCTACGAGCCAGATCCGGCCCACCAGCCATATTTTGCCAAGACCTGACTTACAACAATGGCCTCTGCACAACCAGTGGGAAACTCCCACTGCCCCTGGGCTGGACAAAGACTGTCCCCCCAAAACACCATTTTATAGACAGGTGTAAACGAATTACACCTCACTCCTGACTTGTCAGGTTGCCACCCTGTACCTCGTGATCTGATTAGAAAGTGTCTATCCATCATGTTGTCATTTTAGAACCTTCCCTGAATGTGGGTCTGTGACTGCGGGGAATTTGTACCAAGGTCCTTTTTAATGAGCTGGTGGTACCATGGGCTTTCAACTTATGACCAGTACCAATTACTGTTTTACACCTGGGCCTATTACCAATTAGTGTTTTCCTTTCTCAGCCCTGTTCATGCCAAGTTCTGTGAGCAGGAGGCTGTCTCTTACTCACAGCTTAGCTTTGCTTTGCTACCCATGTTTTATCCTTTGTTAGCTAGGCCTCAGACCAGGCCTGTGGTACCTGGGCTTTTGTTTTAGGCCCTCATATTACTACAGACACTTGTCCATTGATCTTGTACATTTTGCTGGGAGGAGGGGGGGGGGGAATTCCACGAGTTTTGTAAGTTGTCACAGGTTACACATTTCAAGTGTATTAATGAAGCTGGTGTGGGGTCTTAGAGAAGTTTAGGTGCAAGAGGAAGTTCCAGCTTGGGGCAGGGAATTGGAGTGTGGGAGGGGGTGTGAAGTGCAGGCTTTGGCCAGGAGGTATTTAACACAGGTGTTACCCAGCGGGGCTGCTTCTGGCATCTCTCTGAGCACCCCATAGGGGGAGAGGAGCAGTGGGTCTTTGTGTGCTGTCTCTCTACCAAGGATGCACAGAGACATGCAGCTGGCTGCTTCCAGAAGTGATGTGGGGCCTTGGCAGGCAGACAGCCTGCTTGCTTGAACACCCCAGGGAATCATGGTGGACTGGACACAAATATTAGACCAGATCCAGCCCTCAGGCCATATTTTGCCCACCCCTGCAATAGGATATAATCTGGGGGGAGTTTTATATTGATGTAGTTATGTTGGCTATTGTAATTTAGATATATAATACAAGAAGTTGAATGCTTATCACCAAAGTAGTTTAAGGGTGTTAAATGCAGTTGTAAGCGCAACAGAACTGCATCCATCTTGGATTTCTCAGGAGAGTTGAAATTCACTCGAAAAAACTTTTTTTTTCTTAACAGCTTTAATCGAATAGACATTCCTCCCTACGAAACCTATGACAAGCTGTATGAGAAGCTGCTAACCGCCATTGAAGAAACATGTGGGTTTGCTGTGGAATGACCCTTTGCAGACTTACCTATGACTCTATTTATACTCCTGTCAGCCAGAAAGCCCTCCCCTCAGCCAAGACTCAAGAAATGCTTGAAATACAGGAATACTTTCCCGTTTTTCCTAAAGAACACTGTGAGGGAAAGGACAATTTTGGATTTTTTTTCAAGAAAATAGGTTCTGTGGCTCTTGCCATGGAACCATTCAGCTGCTATTAAAAACTAATATCTTGAAGATACAGAATGCTGACTTTTACATTTCAACAGTTAAGCAGTATTCTACACGTAAAGACTACTACTATTTTTGTAAAGCTGTTAACTATTCTATTTGCCTACCTGATTTCTATTCTCTCAGACAACAAGACTGAATTTCAGCAGTCGGTACCAATCACGTTTCACCTTGAATAAACATACTGAACAGTGTCTATACTTGTTATTTTTTTAAAATTTGGATTATTCTAACTTTGCATAAAATTGACTAAAAGAATCATTAATCTTTTTAATTACAGCCACTTACATGTTAACTACGTTTTCTTATAATGAAATATTGTATTCTGCATTATATGGTCAACTTAAATGTTACCCAGAATGGGGCTTTTTATATTTTTCAAGCATGAATTACAGACATGAAATTCTGGGTCCTGTTTCTATCAGTCGTCAAGATTCCTAAGCTGAATGAAATGCTGCATTTGGTACAGTACTTTGTGTTAAACATGGAATAGACCCCTTTTTTAAAGAGTGTTGGTCATTTAGTTTTTTTAAACAAGCATTTTTGTAACAAGTTGATATTGTCAAAAGTATTTTTGGTTTGCTTTCAATTTAAAACAGAAATGCGACATTTTTTAAAAATCCTTAAAGCATGCTGATGAGGTGATGTTGACAGTCTTCTGCTGGCCATCAGTTCATGTTTCAGAACCCATTGTATCTGTCTGATGAACCAAAGTTTTTTATGTTCAGATGCAGCCAATTCACATTGTGTACTTGTTGATGCTTACAGACTTATCAGGTAAACCATGTTTAATCTTTGTTTGGCTGCTCATGTCCCATGGGTTTGTGTAAGTTACAACAATGGAAGAGTAACTAACTCAAACTGTTAGTAAAGTTCATCTATTAACCAACATGCATGATGTTGATGTGCTTTGAAAATGAAGTGGTTAAAGCACAACCTTGTCACTGGTTGTAGAACTCAGAGTAAATATATGCAAGAGTTTAAAATGTTGGTTGGTTAATTCAAATGGGAACTAACCTGGGCTGCTCAAATGAGTATCCTACTGTGAGGGCAGCATGCTGTCTTCATGGAGCATGGGAAATGTTAAGCTACTCACTGCCCAGTTTTTCTATCCACATTCTTCTGCATGATCGGTAGGTAATGTGTAACTGGCATTTTGCCTGCCTTCCTGCACCATCATGAGGGCAGCCACGTTTGGAGGGAATTTCAAATTTTTCTAATCAGTGTTTTAAAATTGGTTTTATAATTAATCACCATAAATGTGCACTAGTTTACATTGGAAAACAAGCCTAATGAGCTTACTAAGACAATGGGATGTAAACAGTTATTTCCTTTCACAGTACAAGTTAAATAATGAAACAGTGATTTTTTTTAAAATCTATTTTATGTAGTTTGTGAATCTGTCAACACATGAATTCATTCTGCCAAATCTGACTGCTACAGCACATAAGTTGTTAATGGTCTATGTTTATTAGAATGACTGGTTAAAAACCTAATAGTATGTCTATTGGAGAGCAGCCTTAACAAGATCATACCATCGTTGGTAGCCCAAAATCTACAGTTTTCACTTATTTTCCTCAGTAGACTGATTGCTAAGAAACATACCAGCCTGGGCTCGTGCACAGTGGGCAGGTTAGGTCAGTGCACTGGAAGCAGCCAAGAGATCTGCTTTGGCAGCTGGGCTGGGAGTCTGCCACACATTTTTCCTCATTTTGAGGACTTGCTGGGCTCATTCAAGTTGAGTGGTAATGGCCTCTACAAAAACCTTCCCAACCTCAGAGGCTATGAGTTGGATTGCTCTCTAGAAACGGGTTAACCTGTATCACTTCGCAGGCTGGAAACATCATTAGTGATGTGCAAGGGTTTGGCATGCGAGGTTGTGGGGGACAGTTTCACTACATCCCCCATCCAAAAGGAAGAAGCAGTGCTGCCTATTGACAGCACCACTCTGGGAGAAGTGGCTGTTTGTTATGTGGCTGGGATTTTTTTCTAGACAAGTCTCATCCTATGTGACTCCCTTCACCCTGCAAGCAGCTCTTCCCTGCAGTGTATTAACACAACCAGGCCTCATCCAGGTGAAAGGGCAATGCAGGTCTGAGATACCTGAGGACCCAGCCCTGGAACACAGAGCACAAACACTGCATTCCCCACATTCAGCTGCTGCAGCTCAATGCCTCTTTGGAGCTGCCCATGTACAAGGTCTCTTGATGGCCTCTGCTGATCCCTCTGCTGCTTCAGGTATGCATCTCCCTCCTGACTATAGTCTACTCCCTGAACTAAGCACCCGGAAAACACACCTATAGCCGGCCCAGATCCCATCAGCGTGTATTATAGGTTTGAGATGTTGAATCCAATGTAGGGGTTTATTGGAATTTACAAGCACGTACACGCACACAAAAACCCTGTATGCCGTCTAACCCAATTTTTGAAGTTACATGGTAGTTTTAGCTGTGGGTGCATTGCTTTCCTGCTAAGCATTTTAGTATTGTGTAATCTCTGTACTACCACCAGTTTATTGTTGGAAAATCTATATGGATAGACAAAATTAATATCTCTACATCTTTGACTAGTTACAATGAATATATCAAATATTTGGAGTGCCTTTTTACCTTCATGACAAGTAAGAGCTTTAAATAAAGCACCTCAACTGGCCAGAAATTTAATACATTTTGCAAAGTAGTGACCCATGAAGGTTTAGTTCCAAAATTGTCAGCCATTTTCCCTCAAACTGGTGCTAAGCCCTATGATGCATTGAACCTTGGACTTTCACCCCATGATTAATGTGAATATTTATTTCAGCTTCTCCTCCTTTCTGGGTTTTACTTTATCCATTCTTGAGTTGCATTAAAGTCATTTTAGAGAAATGCTGCATCATGTTTTCATGCTGTTGCTTTTCATTATGAATGTTTAATTATGAACAGTGACTGTTCTGTAGATTTCAAATATACAGCACATAGTTGAGTTTCAGAGGATTTAATTTCTCGGTGTAAAGAGTTTTGTAATGGTGCTTTGTACAGTATGTATTCTAATTTTTTTTGCACATAGGTTCAGCTTCTCTAAACTGATTTATTTTTTTCCATTTTTGTTATACTAGAGTCCAGAGCACACAAGTTTTCCTTTTGTATTTTTGTTCAACAGCGCTACATCTGTATTAAACTTCTGGTGCGTTTAAAAACTGGTTCCATTGATGGAAGTAAAAACTTTGCTTTTATATCAAAAGTATGCATCATACAGCTTAATATAGCATGCTCACGTTGCTTCAGATTTTAAACTGCACCACAGAGTTAACAGGTGCTCTTTGTTGTATTTAACACTATATACTAGGTTTTTGACTATCACATCCCAAGCTTTGTCTGTAGCTGTAATTAGTTTATATACAAGTATAATTCCCCTCCACAAACTGAGTTTTATTTTCTCATTTCCATTATATTTATTACAGAGTGTTTTTAGCATTGATGTTCATTGTATTGCCATCCGTTACATGAGCTTTAACAAAACATCTGTATAAAATGGTTTAAAAAAACTTAATGTACCCATGCAGAAGTTGAGCAATAAATGGTATGCTGTTTGCACTGTCACAGCATCAATGGTTTAAAAATATTTGACGTTTTTAATTGGAATGTTCATTTTGGTAACTTTAAAGATGTTCAGGGAGTCAGCTCCGGTAGTGGAGAGCAGCATTCCCTCTGACTTTTACCCTGTGCGGAATGAATTCTATGTGCACCAATGTGGCAGTGGATGTGCGGCATATTACCTTCGTATTGGTGCACATAAACTCATGTGATGGAGTGGGGTCAAGAGGTTCTGAGCACGGGGAAGGGGCTGAGGGCTGGAGCAGAGGCTGGGGGTGCAGGAGTGAGAGAGCTCCAGCTGGGGTGTGAGCTCTAGGGTGGAACTGGGGTTGAGGGGCTCAGGACTGGGACAGAGGGTTGGAGTGCAAAGGCTCTGGGATGGGGATGAGGGGTTTAGGGTGCAGGATGGGGGCTCCAGGTTGTGGGGGATTCAGGCTGGGGCAGTGGCTTGGGCTTACCTGGGCAGTACTCAGGCACACTTCCTACTGCTAGGGTTGCCGGATGGTTTAACCAAAAATACCAATCCCCCCCCCCAAAAAGGGGGGGAAGGGACCCCAAGAGTTAAGAGGGAAAAAAAAACCAGCATGGCCCCTTTTAAGAAATGCCTTTCAGGCTTTTTGGCCCTAATAGGCTGCCGATGGTTATCTGCCATTTGTCTTCCTGCTCTGGGCCAGACAGCTCCTCTGTGGAACCAGGTAAGTGTCTGGTATTTTCTGAATTTTTTACTGGACAGGAGGAGAAAATACCAGACTGTCCGAGTCAATACTGGACACCGGGACACCCTACCTGCTGCCTGTCTGGGGGTGGATTTAAAACTTAGACTCAAGTTCTTTTGTTACTGTGACAGGGTGTTCGCCCTGCACTGGCCCTTTAAGGGCAAATCCCAGGGCCTGGGAGTTTAGCCCCAGCTGAGGCTGTATTAGGTGGTTAGGGCCCAGCTGGACGCTATATAAGAGCATGGGCAGCTGCTCCTGGGGAGGGCAGTGAAAGCCTGGCTGCTGGGGGAGTAGGAGGCTCCCTGGAGCTAGGGCAGGGCTGGGGAGGCAAGGCAGGGGTAGGGGAGCTCTGGCCAAGCAAACCCCAAGACTGCAGGGCCTGAATAACGGCCTGCGGGAGAAACAACAACCCCCGGAAGGGGGGCTCAGAGACTGACTTGGGCACTGCCGGAGGGCAGTGTATTGAAGAGGACGCCACGGCCTGGAAGAAGGAGGGGAACCACCACCTGAGGGAAGGTACCCCGCCAGCCAAAAGAGCTAATTTCGAGGACAGACGGCAGGGGGTGCTGCGGTGGTGAGTGAACCCCCTCACAGTTACCAATTCGCACTGTGATTTAATGTCAGTTATCTTTCAAACACCATTCAGATACATATTAACACTCCTACTTACTTTGCCTGTAAGGCCAGAATACTGTTTGTAGCACTCCAACCAGAACCTGCACACTTGTGGCTTACTCTTATACTTAACTTACTAGTCCATATATTTCAGTAGTGGAGATAAGTGACAGGTACAGGAGTTGCCTTTCAACTGCAGACATTTGGCAGCAAGTCGTAGATGGACACTGAACATTGGATTCAGGGTTAGCTTTAGGATCTTTGCATTAAATGTACTGTCAGCATAGGTTAGAGCTAGGCTGCTGTACTTCAACATGACAACTGAATAGGTTATGTTGAGGATGGCAAAAGCAAGTTGAATACATTATGCTTTATACTCAACTTTGGAAGCCCCGGCAGCCACAATGATACAGCCCATGCAGAGGGCCACAACTTAAGTGTGGTTGCATGTACATGCAAATATAAATGCAAATAGCTTTTCACACTGAGAGGCATGAATACAAAGATTAAAGCAAGACTACACAACACACAAGCCCCATTTAAGTCAGTTCTGCTGCTGCTGATAAAACGCAATATTTACCTGATTTCCACCCTTATGACAGCACTTTTTTGAGCAATGACAGTCCAGGAATTTAACTACTAAAACGCTTAACAGAAGACCATTATATTGACTACTATTTTGTTCTGGCACTCACCATCGGCCACAAACAAACAGGCCATGGGCTGAATGTGGCCCACAGGCTGCCTGTTGAGTAGCCCTGCTTCACACCATCATGGTCAAACCTACTGCTTACTGGCCTGTTCTCAAATAGACTGTTAGAGCAGTGTTTCCCAATTTTATTTGGCCATGGAACCCTTTTCAGCTTGAAAGAACTTCAAGGACTCCCTAGGGTTGGCAGGTAAATTTGTTGAGAGAGAAAAAAAAACCCACCAACCTGCTGCAAAAAGGGTCTGTCTCTTTAACAGGGGATGGGGAAAAGTGCCGGGCTCTCAACGGAAAAACACTGCAGTAGAGTAACAAGATGTCAATTTATTTTTAGATCTAAATGTTTGCACTGTGGTATTAGGACAGTGACTTTCCAAGTAGCTCAGTAAAGCAAACTATTTCATCTTGAAAAACAGTTTTACTATCTACCTCAACCAGGTACAAATATTAACATGGTTTTTTACTTCTGTAGATATTCCCACCATGAAAGCAGGCTTTAATTAATATCTGTAAGTGGAGTAATTACAGCAATCTGATGATAGTAGTGTATAGAAAACCAGTGTAAAGTTGAAATGTAAAAACATTAATATGCTTTCTCTCTAGGAAGTAATTAAGAGTGTGGAAGTTCTTCCACCAGTTTGATTCTTCAGCAAAAAGTGTTCTAGATTTTTAAATGCATGGAGTAATTAAGAACTACTTTAACAATAAGGTGACAAGCTTGTTTGAGGACAGAATTGGGCACAAGTACTGTAATCTCTTAGCACTAGCTCTTTAAAGAGCCAAAATACTGCAGCTTGAACCTCTTTAGTCTGGTCCCAGGCAGGCTCCCCTGCTTGTCCTGCATGCCACTCAAACATGGCTGCGGGGTGCTCTCTTATGGCCAATGGGAGCTGCCTGAATATTAGGCACTCACCAAGCACAACCTCTCCCCTCCTGCTCAGTTACTCACTCAATCACGTGGCTGGGCAGGCAGAAACACTGTAAGCTCTGCAGGCATGTTAGTTTGGCTGCTGGCTGGTAAGTGTCTTGGCCAGAGCCTGCCTCTGGCACCCCAGTCCCTCCCCAGACTCCATTCTCTCTTACTTCAGCCTTCCTTCTGGATCCAACCTCCATCCCAGACCTTCCACTTCCATTAATACCATGGAAGAATGTGGCCCTTAACTACTCTCCAAGCTTAGAGTGTCTCCCCCATCAAAAATTATTACCCACCCCTGGTCTAGCAGCATTACTAACAAACACTCACACTGCTTAGTAAGCCTGAAGACATTTAGCAGTAACTAAGACCTAAATAACAGTATAGAACACGGACTGCCAGGACAAACTTGATGGGACCCTGAGAAACTTGGCCACATCCATGATATGTGGCCAGTCAGCTAACTGAAATCATGCTGGACCACTGATGTTGCTGGACTAGAGAGACTCAACCTGTACAGGAATATACTCCTGGTTAAATCATATGTATGTGTATCCCATGAGCAATATGCTGTAAGGCTGTGTACACTGTGAGGTGTGCCCAGCCTTTACTGGGGTAACTGATTTGTACGTCAAAGAGTGCATGGCATGCCCATTCTGACCTGCTCTTTCACAAGGAACTTGCTCAGGTGATGATTTATTTTAAAGAGCTGCCATCATTGTTGTGTCATTTTATTTTGCAGTCACACATTTCAGAAGCTGACTTAAGACATTGATAGGGGCCTGTGACAGGGCAGCTGCCCTGCACTGGCCCTTTAAGACTAAAACCCAGCCCTGGGAGAAGGATGAACACACAGCCCACAGCTGAGGCTAATACTGCCAACTAGGGCTCAGCTGGGGGCTGTGTAAATAAGGACACCAAGAGGGAGGGAGGAAGACACTTGCTCTAGCTAGGGAGCTGGAGGGACTTGGCTGCCAGAGAAGCTGGAGGCTTCCTGAGAGAGGGCAGTACTGGGAAGAGGCAGACTTCACTCCCAGGTTGCAGGGCCTGAGACAAGACCTGGGTGTATTAAGGCCACACTCTCTTGTGCCAATAAGTGGCCATTTCAGACTGCCATTTGGCCCTGAGGTAAGGGGTTATATGACAAGTGGCAGTGGGTCACTAGGGAAAGGTGGGTACGGGGGATTGGAGGGTCCCTGGGAGGAGAGGATCTAAGAGTGCAGGGATGCAGGGCTGTTGTCTGTCCCCTTTCTAGGGAAGGGTTAATCAACTGTAGTGGATATTACCAGAGGACAGTATCCAGAACTGGAATGTGGAGTGAGAATGTTGGGAGACCAACCAGAGGGAGGTGCCCTGCTGACGAGCTAATTCCCAGTGCTACTGGCAGGAGATGCTGTGGCAGCGCATTAGCCTTTTTGAAAATGGAGTATTGAGTACAGTGCCCAGGTAGATCAGATTATGTCCTTCAGCACAACTTGGGTTAAGAACTTTGACCTGGAGGCTGCATGGCAGCATGAAATAGTTTGCTTCTCTTTTATCAAGTGAAACTAATTACACTGATTAAACTTTATTAAATACTCAGGTTCTAGTTCTTGCCACTTACATCCACACCATGCCTCTGACATTGCAAACCACACAGACATTTTAAAGAACCAGCCACCGTCTTCTGGTTGTGAATTCCCCAGAGTATGCCAGAAATAAAAGCTGCATTGACATTGAACAGTTAGTGTAAGTCTTACAAGAAATAGCTTTTGCTATACTGAAAAGAAGCCATTTGAAGTCTGGATTTCAGTCGTTCTGCTTCTAGCTCCCGGAAAAAAGTGTCGTCGTCATTCTGCGTTATCATAGTCTGCAGCTGTTGAATTTCCTTTTCCATCTTTGACCTTAACTCCCTTTTTGTTTTGTGCAGTGTCTTAAAAAGAATGTGGAGATTAACCAAAACTAGGAATAATAAAACGGTTAATTGGTTACACTGTAGTGCTTAACTGGTTAACTCTAACCTAGGTCATGCGTCCAGCCCTGTCTGTGGGGGCCCAAATTGATCATGGGGACCCACTGCCCAGTCCTGCCGAGGCTGCTTCAGCATGGCTACCTCTGGCAGAGTTAACTGGCAAAGGCCAGTTTGCTGGTATGCATATGAGTAAGCCTTATGCTTGCCCGTTAAGATCCCTAATTAAAACAACTTGGAACAAGAAATCATTGACATACTGAAAATTAAATACACCTACTTTTGCTTGTGCTTTCTCTCTGGCTTGGATTTCTTGACGTTCTTGTGATACAGCTTCTGCCAGCATTGAAAACTGAATACAATAAATACTGAATTAGAATTAAATAAGATATGAAAGGTATTTACCAATTTAAGATTGAAAACGGGGTAGATTGTCTTGGATGCAATCAAATAAGCCTACCTGGTCCTTGTAGTAGTTCTCCATAGACTCTAATTCATTCTGGTGTACTCTTCTTTGCTCAGCCCGCTTTTCTTTACTATACAGTCTCAGCTCCTGCAGCCTTTGCTTCTGAATTTCTAAACCTTCTTCGAATAAATTCTTAAATATCTGCCAAAAATTAAGATGTTTAAGTGTGTAACTAAAGGAAAAACCTCTGCTCCTAGTGTAGGGTGGTACATCTACCCTATGGATTTATGCCAGCTCAATTTACATTTACTGTATACACGGCCTGCACATGTAAGCCATAGAACTTTATGAAGAGATCTTTGAAGTTAGAAGAATTCCCTAGATTCTACTTTAACTAGTGTCATATCCCCAACAGGTCCTTCTAAAAATCCTCTAAACAGTGGAGAGGCGACACTATTCTAACGAGGACTAAATTACATTGAAATTCCACATTTGTGTGAATTTCATATAAATTTTGCTGTTTACATAGACAAAAATGATCTCACTCCTCCATGCAACTTGAAGCACAGTTCTCGCCTCCAATCACCATTCCTCGGTTACAACTATTGTCTCTGCGCTCATCAAGGTCAAAGCTAACTGAGGGCAGCATTTGTCCTCAACATTACAGAATCATAGGACTGAAAGGGACCTCAAGAGGTCACCTTGTCCAGTCCCATTCAGTAAACGACAGGACTAAGTTTTCTGAATTATTTGACAGGTGCTTGTCTAACCTGCTCTTTAAAATCTCCAGTGATGGAGATTCCACAACCTCCCCAGTGCTTAACTACCTGGACAGAAAGATTTTCCTAATGTCCAACCTAATCTCATTGCTGCAATTTATAATGAGTTTATGCATGAGTAGAACTAGAATTCAGCTTGCTTCCCCCATAGCGGATGAATGTACAATGGTAAAAAAAAATTAAAGCAGGTTTTTTAACATTAAAAAGGATCTAACTGATTGAGGGGTGTCATTTTTAATCATTTTTCAAAAAAAGTTAAGGGCGCCTTACTTTTGATACCAATAGAAACATTCTCTAAATTCATCTTTGCAAGTTCATGGTGAAGAGAGCCTTTCCCCACATAATTCCCTCTGCTGTACTAACCCTACAACTCTCTCCTCCCCTCCCTTATCAAGTTGCACCCTTGGCTAAGCCCAGTAGCTTTTGTTGCCCAACAGTGAAAGTTCATTCTAGCTTTTGTTTAGATGGGAGGTGGCTGCTCTAATATGTGGCAGTCTTTCTAGAGGACAATCATTTCAACTACATGACTGGTCAGAAGATATAGTCTTACGTATGCTTTGTTCCAAGAGAAGATCGTGTGGAAGTTTAGAAGCTCTTGGCTCCAGGATGGTTGCTGCCAGAGCCAGAGTTAGAAGGAAGGAGCTCGGAGCTTCATGGCCTGTGCTGTTTAGCTTAGTTGGCCTCTAACATTTTGCACCAAAAAACTTTGATTTCTCACAAATATAAATACACACCACACAGTAAAGGGGGAAAGATGCTCACTCAATACTGGAGTCTTCTCCCTAGTAGAACAAGGGAAAAAAGCACACTCACGCACCCTTTCTTCCCTGGTCCTAGCCTGCATCATTTTGGCACATAGCTGAACGTGGTAATCTTCATAGTACTTCTTGGCTGGAGCCATTTGCTGACATTTCTCTTTCATTTTATTCTGAGCAAAGTTTTGCCAATATAGCCTCTTCCCGACTTACGAACTGCTTACAGACCAAGCAATTGGTCATAACTAGGTTTGTTCGTAAGTCAGACCCCATAGAGTTACACACAACTGCGCTGTTCGTAAGCGCGGATCGTGTTCGTAACTCGGGGTCCACCATTTACGACAGCTTTGGTCATAACTGCAAATGGTCGTAAGTCGACCATTCACAACTCGGGGACCGGCTGTATATGCGTTGCTTAAACTCTTGCTAAAGAAAGAAAGGTCAGTAAGTATCAGACTACCGGCACTTCCTGAAGAGGGAGCATTGCGGCAGACTTTTATGGCAAGCTTTATTAAATCAATACAGGTGAACCTCTCTGGTTCAGAAACATCAGTCATCCAGCATGATTTTAATTAGCTGCATGTCTACTTATCATGGGTGCAGCCAACTTTTCCGTGGTCCCATAAAGTTTGTGTACAGCCACCAATCTTGGCTCTCAGTGTTCTCTGATGTTATTAAGCTCTAATTTACCCCTAAATTCATCTTTGCAAGTTCATGGTGAAGAGAGCCTTTCCCCACATAATTCCCTCTGCTGTACTAACCCTACAACTCTCTCCTCCCCTCCCTTATCAAGTTGCACCCTTGGCTAAGCCCAGTAGCTTTTGTTGCCCAACAGTGAAAGTTCATTCTAGCTTTTGTTTAGATGGGAGGTGGCTGCTCTAATATGTGGCAGTCTTTCTAGAGGACAATCATTTCAACTACATGACTGGTCAGAAGATATAGTCTTACGTATGCTTTGTTCCAAGAGAAGATCGTGTGGAAGTTTAGAAGCTCTTGGCTCCAGGATGGTTGCTGCCAGAGCCAGAGTTAGAAGGAAGGAGCTCGGAGCTTCATGGCCTGTGCTGTTTAGCTTAGTTGGCCTCTAACATTTTGCACCAAAAAACTTTGATTTCTCACAAATATAAATACACACCACACAGTAAAGGGGGAAAGATGCTCACTCAATACTGGAGTCTTCTCCCTAGTAGAACAAGAAAAAAAAAGTACGCTCACGTACCCTTTCTTCCCGGGTCCTAGCCCGCATCATTTTGGCATGCAGCCGAACGCGGTAATCTTCATAGTACTTCTTGGCTCGAGCAATTTGCTGACGTTTCTCTTTCACTTTATTCTGAGTAAACTTTTGCCGATATATGCGTTGCTTAAACTCTTGCTAAAGAAAGAAATGACAGTAAGTATCAGACTACCGGCGCTTCCTGAAGAGGGAGCGTTGGGGCAGGCTTTTATGGCAAGCTTTATTAAATCAATACAGGTTGAACCTCTCTGGTTCAGAAACTTCTGTCATCGGCATGATTTTAATTAGCTGCATGTCCATTTAGCATGGGTGTGACCAAGTTTCCCACAGTCCCATAAAGTTTGTTTACAGCTACCAATCTTAGCTTTCAGTGTTCTCTGATGTTAAGCTCTAATTTACCCTTAAATGTCCTCTAACATCCCAGTAAGCAGAGGAAGAATTGGTAATGCTGCTAGACACCATTGACCTCCCGTGGTCCAGAAAATTCTCTGGTTTGGAACTGGTCAGGTCCCAAGGGTGCTTGATTAGAGAGCTTCAATTGGTACTAAGGAAATTCTCCCCATCCTGCACTGCATTGGACTACTGTAATATGGTGCCATCCACGGTACTGCCTAAAATAATAAAAACAGCATTTTTATGGAAGCTAGTATTTTAAGTATTTGAACTCCTGCACGGAGAGACTGACATCTGTTCTTCTCAATCATCCATATGCTCAGATCAAATAGTGGTCTATTGATCTGAGGAAGTGGGTCTGGCCCATGAAAGATCATCTAATAAACCATCTTGTTAGTCTTTAAAGTGCTACATAGTCCTGTATTTTGTTTCAGCTACAGGAGACTAACACGGCTACATTTCTATCCATATGCTCAGGATTTGTTCACTGGTAAAGCACCAAGCTGCTTCGTTAAATAATGAAATATAAGCATGCCTATTGTCAATCTGAGACCTCAGTGGCCACATACAAAAGAGACTAGGTAAAGTTTTCCATACCACATCTGCTTAGGACACAATAGGGAGCTGCTTTCATGAACCAACAACTGGAGGATCTTTTTGGCTATACCACCATGTAATTGTCATATGCTGTGTGCATCCTCTTTGGAAAAACATACCAGTCTCTTGTTATGGTCTTGATCTTTCTTTATGATTTCAACAAGGAGGTCGTGCTTCTTTAGTGCTTCTTCCACCTTGAGATAAGAAGGGTGACAGGCAATTGCTTTAAATTCTGCAGGATAGGCACTCAGTGATAGGACTTAACAGAGGAGCAAAATTTCAGTGTACTCTGCCCCAAGTGGCTAACAGAAGGAAAAGGAAGAAGTTTCATTTAGCATTCAACAAGCTATCAAATTCTGCATGCTAGAAACCGTTTTTAAACTGGCTTTATATGTAATAGCCCTTAATTTCTCTAAGTGATTTACGAAGGTGGAAAAATATTCCTATCTTGAATGTAGAGAAACAAGTACATAGGATTAAATGCAAATTGAGTGATTAAGATCAGAACCTGAACCCTGGTGTCCTGATTTAGACCACCTACTTTAACTATGGAGTGCCTCCTTACTCTGCAGAGTAGCTTTTCCTTTTACAGACACATCTGTTGGGGACAATTGAATGCTAGTTGGACTCAAATGTATGCCATATATTTGTACAACAAACACCATGGGAAAACATATCCAAATATGCAAGATGAAAGAGCTGGAACAGAAAATTTGTAGAGTTTGCATCTGCAGTAATATAAGCAATAGGCTTCCGCATATCTTTGTAATATGACAGTGAGCCATATCAGCTTTTTAAAGCCAGGGAGCTGAGATACTAACAGTTCTGGTTCTTAGAGAACTAGGCCAAATCTACCATTGCCTCCTTTAAAGCTGAGTCTCCATTTTTAAGAAAAATCAGACTTCAGAATTCATAGCCATTCTAAGGTCATATGTACAAACTAGTGCAGGAGGCACTGCCTCGCTCTGCCTCTGGGTCGTGCCAATACCGTGCACAGTATCTATGTAATTGGTTGGGTTTTGTTGCTTAGTGCAGCCAACTTGTGGCCAGTACTGTTGTGTAGCTGCACTGTCCCGGTCAAGCCTAAGAGGCTGTGTTCATGCTGAACAAGAGAGGTTCTCACTTCACTTTGGAGTTTCAGCCTGGATCGGCCTTTGCCAGAAGCAGACTTCATCTGTTCAATCTGGGCAAGCTGCTGGTGCCACATTTTGTTCAGAGAGTGGTGGGAAATGTGCAGGTATGGAAATTCTTCCAGTAGCAGAGGCAGAAGGTCATTGTCCTTTACTTTCACTGCAATATAAAAGCAAAATCAATCAATCAAGCCCCTGTAGAGAAAGTTTAGCAGTAGTTCTTCCAGACAGCTTAACTTCTAGCTATGAAGATACACCTCGGCGTGAACAACTTGTCTATTTAATATGCGGTTACCATGATGCTGCATTGTTCCTCAGTAGCATGTATTGCATTGTTGTCTATACAACATGCAAGGAAACAGCCTATGCCAATCTGATTTGCTACTTTCCCATGAGATCTATTTTACAGTAGTAGAGGGTTGATACTTTTAAAAAGCCTAGTCAGCCCTACCCCAATAATTTCATTGCTCCTGTCAATCTTGCTAGCTGCATGTAGTTATTTAAAGTAACACAGTCATACTGGTCCTATAATTTAATCCCAGATTTCCTAGGTGAAGCGATTGTACGGATCCTCTTCAAATAAATTAGGAATGCTTCACTGAGATAGGAGGCCCCAGGAGAGCAGCAATAGTTGCTAGTGTCCTAATTAGGGATGGATTTAAGAGTCAGGTCTTTCGCACTTCAACTTTCATAGCTTGATATGAACATGCGATAAAATAATTTGGCACTTACTAATTAATGGAGAGTTCACTTCAACCATTTTGAAACCAAGGCAGTGTAGCAGGAGCCATTCAAGCTGTGGATTTACATCATGAAGGCCCAGCATGCAGCTGCTAAAAACATGGCTTGCACTCTGAGCATTCATTGTGCTTGGATTGCAACTTGCTCAACATACTGGTGGCAGCATTAGTCCCACAATAGTGGTAACTTTCCACACCAGCCACAGTCTTGCAAAAGAGAAAGAAACTGATACAGGTGAACATCAGCTATGTATACACCCCTGGCATGCTCACACTTTAGAGCTCCAATTTCAAAGCTGACAAACCCTCATGTGCAAGGAACAGTGACCTAAATGAACAGGGGACCAAACACAGGAGTGACAATAACAGCAATAAATCTGAGATAGTTCAGGGTATTCTAAGGAGGTAATGGATGGGTCAGTTTGAGCTGTGTTGCAACAATGGTTTATTTCAAAACATTATCTTCCCTCACAAAAATCCAGACATCTGGAGGTCATAAGGGGAAAAATGCTACAGCTGACTGGTATATGTTGGCCAGATGCCTTTATTCTTGGAGTTCACCAGATGCTTTCACAGGATGCCAGTTTTCCACCAAGTAGAGTTTTGTGGTTCTTACTTGGAGCTGCTTTCTTTGGCTTCACAAACCCTCCTCTTGGAATCCACTGACTCTGTTTGGGATTCCGAGGTGTGGTTTTTCTAGAATAAACTTTCGCTGGCCGAGGCATTTTTGGAGGTTCTTTAAAGATGTTTTCTTGGTATTCTTGTTCCTTAGGAGCAGATGTAAAACAGATGGAGAACAGGTATGAGAGGGAAAGAATGGTAGTTCAGATGGCTTGGATATCAGAACTTAAGTAGCTTTTGAGTCTCCAGGAAGGAAGTTTGCACACAGTGAGGCCGATTCTCCATAGCAGGGCTCAAAATTCACCAAATGCAGGTCAGAGGATGGGTAATGGAGACTGCAAGCTCTCCTCTGCACAGCCCTAATTCTGGCAGTGCTCCATGTATGGCTGCAGGGGCCCTCAGGGGTGAAAATACAGCTCAGAATGGCATGGCATACAGGCATTCCAATCATGCTCCCTTTTCTTCTTATACACTAGCAGCAGGTAAAACTATTGCCAGTTCCCTGCCACTCACTCAGACTTGCAGTGATCTCGGCCTTCTAGGTTAGTTGACAGCACTGGATGATCTGACTTATCTAGAATTCATAGTAAGAGCTTCACAAAGGCAAACACTAATGCAGGGTACAAGCTGTAAGTGCCAGACTATCTGACAGCTCTTTAATTCTCATGGCAAAAAAAATAAAGCTAATGCTTCAAAAGTTAGGGGGAATCCATTACAGGACATACTTAATAGTGAATCATGGTCCTTGTGCCATCCCTAAGATGTTGCTTTAAGGATTACTAACTACCTACACCTGGGGATGTTAAAAACTAATCCACTAGTTGATATCCCCACCTTGCTGCCTCTAGGAGATGAGCTGCCCCTTTAAAATGCCGCCTTGGCACATTTCAGAGGGGCAGCTGCCTTGGAGCCCAGCGTCAGCCGGGGACTCCCAGCTGACCCCGGGCTCCCTGCAGCATTTCCCCAGAACCCTGGATCAGCTGGGGACTCCCTAGCTGACCCCGAGTTCTGGGAAAGTGCCAAACAGAACCTGGGGTCAGCGGAACACAGACTCCCCAGCTAACCCGGGGCTCCTAGCAGCATTGCATGCAGCCTGGGGTCAACAGGGAACTGTAAGTCCCCCAATGACCCGAGGCTCCATGGCTTTGAAATGCACAAGAGCCCCCGTTAGGGACTCTTGTGCATTTCAGAGCAGGCACGCCGCATGTAGCCCAGAGTTAGCGGGACTTCCCGCTGGCCCCGGGCTGTACGCGGAGTTCCGCATTCCTCCTTTGAAATGCTGAAGTGCCTATTGACTAGTCGGCGGAAATTCCATCCACCAGTTGTTTTAACATCCTTACCTACACCTCTCCCTGACTATTGGGGTCTATGTGCCCTAAGAAAATTACCTACTGCTAAGTAGGGATGTGAAAGTGTAACTGTGTGCACAGTTAATGGTTACATGCAGGCTCCCTGCATGCACTAGAGAGGTAAGCAAGTAGTCAAGTAGTTGACTACTGGCTCCTCTCCCTTGCTGCCTCAGAGAGGCAGCAAGCAGGGGTAGTGGGTGGGCAGCAGGAGCTGGTTCTGGGGGGAGCCAGCTTAAAAGATGGTTCCTCCCAGGACCATCTCTGCAGTGCCACCTTCTCCCACCCCCTCCCTACCTCCCGCTGCAGAGGCAGCTACACAGAGGGACAGGGAGGGGAGGCAGCTGTGAGCCCAGGCTTGCTGCAGGCAGAGACTGCTCCAGCAGTAGTCTGTGTCCAAGGGGGGTTCCAGCTCCCCACTGGAACCC